ATTTAAATACATTTTCTTAATAGAAAAACATAAAAACCTGCTTCTCAAGATCTGGTTCAGCATTCTTGCTATAGTTTTGTCTTGTGCTAATTTTAGCTTCTATTTGCTTTCTTGCTAATTTTCACTTTTAGAAATTATTTTGTTAATTTTAGATTGTAGCGTCTGCTTGCTGATTTTAGCTTGTTTTAGCAATTTAGCTGATTTTATCTTTTAACCATAAAGCTAACTTTAGCTTTCAACTACAGTTTTGCAGTTTTTTTAGCTTAGTTGTGCTAATTTTAGCCTGTTTTTGCAACTTACGTTTCAACTATTGCTTTGCTAAATTTAATTAGAAAATTCCTATCAGCTGATTTTAGCTTGTTTTAGCAGTTTAGCTWATTTTGTCTTTTAACTATAAAGCTAACTTTATCTTTCAGCTGTAGTTTTGCGGTTTTTTAGCTAAGTTGCTAATTTTAGACTGTTTTTGCAAGTTTCAGTKATTGCTTTGCTAAATTTAATTTGTAGCTTCCTATTAGCTGGTTTTACCTTTTTAACTACTAGTCTGCTATTTTTAGCTTTTAGCTATAGTTTTATGATTTTAGCTTAGTTGTGCTAATTTCAGTTTGATTTTATGCCTTTTATTGCTAATTATAGCTTCTAGCCACTGTAAAGTGTAGATAGACCCCTCATTAAAATCATGGTTGTGATTTTAATCAGGGATATATCTACAAAAGCCATTTTGGTGAATTAAAACTTTAGCTACTGTTTTCAAGCTTTCAGCTATGGTTTTGTTAATTTTAGCTTGTCTTTTAGGTTTTATTGAAAGTTTTTGAGATTTTAGGTTTTAGTTGTTTTTCAACTTTTAGCTTTTGTTTACTGTTTTATTATTTAACTAAATTTGGCTATAATTTATCTAATTTAAGATTTTAGTTACAGTTTCACAGATTCTGTGGCCATATACGTTTTAATGAATATATTATGTAAAATATATCCGCCCCTCACACTGTGGCTGCTGGATATGGGCCCCAGTGACCCCCGTGACTCTGAAAGGAATAAGCGTGTGCAGATAATGGATTAATGGATACACTTAGATGTAGAATTAAATCATTTTTTATTAGTACTATTTACACATTGAGAAGTTTATTGTTTTTAATTCGACTCAATATTTTTGTGTAGGTTTTAATTAATTCTTTACTGTTTTCTATTCAAATCCATTTATATTAAACGAATAACTATTAAGAGTTCCATTTAATTAATATTTACTCAATTCCAAACATTGTAAAATTTAATTAATAATATTGCTTCTAATCTGTTGCCTCACTTTTACTGAGTAGATATGGTGTATTTTTTACAGTGTATTGTTAATGTTTTTAGTTTAGCTACAATTTTGCTGGTTTCTAGGTTTTAGCTTCAGGGTTTTCGGTTTTGAATCAAAGCTTTAGCTGGTTGTAGCTTTTAAATTGTTCTGCTGGCGTTAGCTTCTAGCTAGCATTCAGCTTGTTTCCTGGTTGTTTGAGGGTCTGCTCAGTTTTAGCCTTTGCTTTGTTTGTTTCAGCTTTAACAACTCTCTGGTTGTTCAGCGTTCTCTTTGTATTTTAGCTGAAAAAGCACATTTTTTTTCCTGTTTTTGTTTACCCTCCTGGAGGTTTGGCTCCTGTGATCAATGCTGAGGTCTGTAACCAGACTGGGCTGAAATCGATTTCCTTTTTCACTTTGAAAAATCCCTGAAAGGGACAGCAGTATGTCATCCCAACAATGGATCAATACCAACATGTAATGCGTGTCCCTCTGGGCTGAAACACGAGACAATGAGACACAGCAGCTGCAGTTTGRGTCCGTGGCCAGCAGGTGGCTCTCCTGAGCTGAAGATAAACATTCATCATTTTTGTCTTTTATTGTCCATTTTTTATGAAAGAAGAGCCTCAGATAAAAGCTTTTATAGAGAGAAATAAACGTGAATGTTTCTCTGCAGGTGGAGTCAGACCTACGAGGAATCGGGTCACTACTCTGTTTGGATCCAGGTGGTTTACACTGATGCAGTCTGCAGTTTCTCTCTGGATAAAAGTCCAAACAATGCACATCTGCGTGAGTAGAAACAGAACATCAGCGCAGAGTTTCAGGGTTTCCTCAGTGGGTCGAGCCGTCGCTCCGTCCTCAGCCTTCGACTCATTTATTTATTTATATTTACTTATAAAGTTTATTCATTTAAAACAAAACAACATAAATTCAATATACAATAAAAATACAAATCACAAGTAAGGTAGCAGCAGCAGAAGAAGAAAAAACAAAAATTTCTGCCCCTTTTCCTCAAATAATTAAATTCAATCAAAAATAATTTCCATTTACAAAAACGTGCAAAAAATAAAAGAACACTGCAAAAACTGTCCACCTAACCAAGTTTTAAAATCTTATATCAACCAAAAAATCTTTTTGATCTTGTGTTGAGACTGATTTACTAAACAAGAGCTGATTGTGTAAGAATAATCATCTTGTTTTCAGA